TTTTTGAGGACCAGTAAAATCTTCAAAAAATCTTCGCTCAAAAAATTTTCGTTCACGAAGTTAAGGCATAATTTAGTTCAACAGATGATCGGCAGTTAATGAATTCTACTTGGAAAAATAGTTTGGCAAAAATGTTTTCAAAATACTACATGAAATTTTCCTATTTTAATTTTCTGATGTATCATAATATTTAATGAATAAATAAGTTCTTTGCGAGTTGCACGACTATAAAATACCTGAAGAAATTCTCCAATTGCATCTTTAAATATTTCACTTTGATAACCTTAACCAAATATTGCAACAGCAATCATAAATATGGATGTAGATCATTATTTAAAGAATTATGAGGGTACAAATGAAAATATGCAAAATTGACAAGTTTTCCTATTTCAATGAAGCAGACGTTAAACACAGAAGAGCATCATCGCCTCTATTTTCTTTTTTTATTTCACTGAAAGCAAACAACGTCTCTGATATGTCTTTTCCGTCTTTCGTCGGAATCAAAACGGAATAGTCCATTATTTATGGTGTATTGAAAAGGCGTAACACACGTATTAACCGACTAAGAAACGAAAGAACATGCATTATTATATGATATTTAAAAAATTGTAAGAAGAGAAGTCCATTTTAGGTCCTTTGTGTATTCATATTTATAACTTTTTGAATTTTTATAAAGGTAAAATAGATGTATCTTCTCAATTGAATGGAAGCAACAATTCTGTTAAAATCGACATTCCTAGACCAATTGAGAAACCTGTGTATGATCGGATGTTTCAGGTCGTATAAAGATACTAATTTCAATGTTGTAAATTCTTACCATTTTAAGGGCTTTTCTTCGCAATTCCCATTTATTCCATTCGTAAGACTTGACAATATTTGATTCCATAAAGTGTGTATCACTTTGGGTGCCGCTGTCACATTTAATAATCGCTTTTTGCAGATTGTCACGAGCATCTTTACCCTGAAAATAATTTAGTATTTGTTATAATAAACAACAGCAACGCCCAAGTTCAAAATTCTTCTTCTTTTAACCCAACGATGACACACTAACAGTATATATATATATATATATATATATATATATATATATATATATATATATATATATATCTTATAATATTTTGTTTATATGAATTACGAACATAGAAATCGTTCAGTCGAAAACCAGATTTACTTTGTTGTTCTGAAGAAATGACATCATTAACAAATTATTAATTAATTATTCAATAGTATCTTTCGGAATTTACGATTGAATTTTTATATTCATTGAGCAAATTTTAAAATTTGAAATGAATGTACACAACATGTATCCAAGCGTATGTACACGTGAGAGCGTTATCTCCTCCTTTATTTTCTTTTATTTTTTCTTTCCTTTTCTCACTGAAACCAAACAGCATCTCTGATATGTCTTTTCATTCCTTCTTCAATTTTTTTTATGAAGTACTAGCAGGGAGTCATGTACGCGTTAACTAACGGACGGAGGAACAAGCGGAATTATAGTACGACTCCTAGCACCCGTGAAAAGTTCAGGGCTTTCCTGTTTTAATTTTGTTATATTTCTTTCTTTCTTTCTTTCTTTTCTAGGGGAGTTGTGGCTGGTGAACCGTTCCTTGAATGTTGTATGCACGCCTCTCTTCGTGGATTTGGAGGCCAGGCTTTCTGCTGTGGATGCTAGCATTTAAACACCAGACATTTCATCGCATTGAGCTTTATGCGCCTAAAGACTCCAGGGAGCTTCCCGCCTTTCTTCGGCAGATCGATCCGTTCCTGACGACATATCGTTGGATAATTTTAGCGGGAAACTGTAATGTCGTACTCGATCCCAATATAGGTCGCAAGGGAACTAAATTGGGTGTAAAGCCATTTCGTGACTTTATCGGCAGGTTGGATCTTGTCGATAAGTTCAAGAATGAGTTTCATCGAGAGGTAGTGTGGATTTGAACGAATATGGGGCAACTTGGCTACGGTCTTGCGTACAAGCTACATTGACCGAGTCTTAGTTAGGAGGGTCGACTTAGGGCTCTTAGGCTGTCCAATCTTCATTCCATAGTTTATTCGGATCATGGGCTTGTCTGGGTTTGTTTTAACTTAGATAAGCCTAGGATTATCATGGGTAGCTACTGGAAATTCAACACATCATTGTTCAATGAGAAGGATTTTTAGAGCCTGCTTTTACTAACTCTAATACGGGAATTGACGGTCTGTGGTTGGAAATAAGTGGTGGGCTCACGTCAAGGTTACTATTAGGCCGTTTGTTGTTGATTATAGTAAGCGGCTCAACCAAGATACATTAACAGAGCAAACGGCACAAAAATCTAGAGTAGAAAGGGCTATCAAATCGGGAGATAGTGGGGGAAATAACTGTCTTCCGAGACAACAAATATGGCTGCTGAGTTGCGAGCTGAAGAAGTTCGGAGAATCGCAAACCGACATATCGCTAACGTCGCATTGCCGGGTGGGTGTACGTGACTACAAACAACGGCATATGTGAGGCTTTCCGATCTTATTTTCAGGATCTTCAGGGAAGTCGGTCTGAACACGATTCAGTTTGACACGTAAGTGTCTGACATTCCTCGCTTCGAGGAGACTGAAGCGGCTGGGTACGAGGCTCCAATCACATAGGAGGAAATCTGGGATGCGTTGAGGCGTATCGGTAGAGACGAGACTCGATGGTCTTTCCTATGAGGTGTACTTGAGGCAGTCGCACGTGTTTGTTCCTCTGCTGGCACTGATATTTAACCAATGGTTGGAGAACAGGAATATTTCCGAACGCTTCACCAGAGGTGTAATCAAGTTGCTTGGCAAGAATAAAAACATAGGAGATGAGGTTAATAATTTCCGATCCTTAACTATGTTGAATACAGAGTTAAAGATTTGAGCCATGGTCTTAGTCAACCGCTTGTAGGCTGTCCTGCCTAGTCTGATTGGCCTTGACTTGAACTGTGAAGGGTCGGACTATTCAGGACAACCTTCATCTGGTACGCTTGATCGTAGAACAAGTCCAGTGAAATTGCGCTGATCAATTTAAATCAGTTCAAAGCATTTGATAAGGTTGACCATAGATTTCTCAGAGCTGTCATCGAGTCGGCAGGCTTCGGGTTGTACTTTCGATCCTGGATCCATCTCTTGTACCGATCCTCTGGTGCGATGGTTGAAGTTAATGGCGTAAAGTCGAAATCTTTCATGTTGTCCAGATCTATTCGTCAGGGTTGCCCGCTTTCGACGATACTGTATATTCTTGCGTTGGAGATCTTCCTTCGCAAGTTAGAGGTGAATCCGGTCCTACATGAAATTACCCTCCCTGGTGCTACCACCTCGGCCAGGTATTCCGCTTATGCCAACGACGCGAACGCTTTCGTAAAAAGCAAGACCGAGATTGACGTAGTCGGCAAGGAAATCAGCAGGTATGAGGAGGCAACAGGAGCTCAAATTAACCGCGACAAGTCAGTGGGCTTGCGGTTGGGTGCGTGGAAGGAAGTCTCTCTTCCCGGACTCTTCATATGGACGGACTGCCCTCTCAGGATACACGGCGTCTGGTTTGGCCCCGACCTCCAGTTGGAGAAGAATTGGCTGGAGATCCAAGCAAAATTAATCTGTAGTCTCGGACCAAAAATAAGGGGGCCGATGACCGTCCATACCCGGTCATTGGCCCCCTTATTTTTTGTCCTCCATTTTATCTTTGGTTTATTCCCATTCCTCTCCCATTTAGGTGACAAGGATTGCAGTTCTCTGGTAAACTGTGGGATGTCTTTTGTTTTCGAGTGTGAGTTTTCCTAATTGTTATTGTGTTTAAGTGTGTGAGTGCGAGTGTGAATGATTGTAGAACGGGTGTATGAAAATCATTTTATTAATCCCGCAGTATTTTTCGTCCACTTAATTGCTATCTCTATCATGAATAGACTTTGGGGGTGCCCCTTACTAACACTAGTTTTGTTTAGCTGTGTAGATAGTTTTTTACATCATGAACATTGGGGATATTTTAGATTTTTATCAACCCAGCCCTTCACAAAGACTTTACATTAGGTAGGAATTCCTAGAGAAAATGTAGCATTATGGTGTCCGTGTATGATAGTGTTGTGTAGATGAGATGTTTTGATGAAAGGAACAATGTACGAACGATTGGGGCTGTAATTGAGGCTAGCTAAGTTATCAATAGGATAATTGAAAAATAGTCACCATCCCAGTTTGTGCCACATTTGTAGTTTCGTACAATAAATATTAGGAGTAAACAAGCAGAGAGTTAGAAATCTAGCTTATCAACTTCCTACCTATTTCATCAAGACTACGTCGACTCCAAACGACATACTACGACACACTACTTCTTGATTGTGTTATCTTCATTCAATGCAATGAAGACGTAACAAAAATTACTTGCTCAAAATTTTCTTCAGTACCGTAAATTTCTTCAAACTTGCCATATTTAGATCTATTCAACCCAAGTTTAAGTAGCTCAACAGCAAATTCAACGGTTTTTCCAATATTTTGATTCTTTATTGAGTCCCAACTTTTAATTTAATGCTTTAATACGCTCTTTACGATTTCCGAGAAATTCCACTACTGCATTATTAAATATTTGTGTTGTACATTCACATAAATACAGTAGTAAATGATGTATGTTGCTCTCCAGTTGGAGATTCGTCTCCAGCTGTGCTGGTCAAACTCTCTGCTTCCGGGCAGAGAGGATCCCCAGACGAGGCTATGTCGAAGGGTAGCTACCCGACTCCGTTTTATACGGGATCTACGGGGAATTTTTGGCTGAGCCTACGTGCTCGGATACCCTACATTAAACTCGGCCTTGTGGCACATCTGACCGCGTGGGGCGGTTGGTAGATATCCTACAGTTGGATATTCATTGTGGAATTCACTTGACTCACTTCTAGCAGCTGACTACTACTTCTACGCGCCGCTGGTGAATCTTATCTTCGTTTGATTATTCTATTCCCTAAGTTACAACAATTTGATATTAACAATTTTACCAAAACAAGGAGGAAAGAGTCCAACTACTGCTGCAACAAAGAATTTAAACTGAAAAAAAGAAAAGGAAATATGGAAAAAGAGAAAAGAGCCCAATATTTGCAGCAACAAAGAATCGTAGTTCCAAAAAGAAGAGAAAATATTGACGCAGTGGGGAGAGAGAAAGAGAGAAGTAAAGAGAGCAACATCTTCAACAGGAAAAGATGATTCTACAACTTTAGGGTAATGTTGCGGTGGAGGCAAGCGAACTTTAACATTGTGATAGCAGTTGAAATTTTCATTTCTGAAACTAAGTGAGTCGCGATGATTGCAGGAATTATTCCTTTAATCAATGTTTAGGGTTTTCATCTGTCCCGCAAAATGCGTGTTTGTCCAACACATTGATGCTGAAGGACATGTCATGATGAGGGACACGTTTTCATCCGGCTTTTTTAGAAACGATATTCCTTTTAAAAAATTACGCCTAAATTTTGCTTTAAAAAACAAACAAACAATAATATACTTAATAAGCACGAAGAGCAAGAATTATGTGAAGAGTCTTGCCTGCCTGTCCCCCCTTCCATTACTCTCTCCCTCTACTCATCTCTTTCTCTCCTTTTTTTACCATTTCTTTCAATTTCGTTAAAAAATAACAACCTGTCTTAATTTAGTTGTGTGGATCCACGAACTCCTTGTTGGGAACCTGTCGCTAATGAGTCCGCGGCACTTATAGTTTGGAACTAGTCAGTGGAGTACACGGCCTCCCCGTAACGCATTTCTTATTTAAGTAGTTGGCAACCGAAACAACGTTTATTATTACACGCAATACATCTCGTGATATCTGCTTAATAGAGCGCAATGTACGTGCCAACTAACGTACTAAACAATGAGGGGGACAAACAGAATTATTATTTGTTTAATCATTTCGCCCCAAGCAAGGCAATAAAACCACTAACATACACGCAGGGGTTACTGAGGGTGAAAGAACAACAAAGGAGTGTGAACAATATACGAGTAACTAAGACAGAAGATAACGATTGATATTGAAATTAAATTTTTGAAGAGAAAACTTGACTGGAAAGCAAGAAGCCAGGTGAGAGTTCCACAAGAGAAAAGAAACTGTTAGCGTAGAACTTACAGTATTATCAATTTCAAAAATGTTGAGGTCATGCCACCAATCTCGTACTGCTCTTAAATTCATAGTCTAGCTACCATAGAAGAGTTAATCAGAGAATGAAAGTATTTATAAGAAAAGGCACAGGGAAGTTATATTACGGCAGTGGGAAAGTGACTATAATATGGCGTTTCAGTTTATTTAGTCTGGCCAGAAATCAATAGCTTTATCTAATTTATTTAACGACAACTGACGACTTTTCTAAAGGAAAAATTGCGACCGGTTTGCTTACCAAGACTTACAGTAAAAAATATCTAACATGTTATGACGCAACATTTGAAACTTGACCAGCGAAGGAAGCAAAGTAAATAAAAAATTAATCTCCTGCTACTGGTGACTAATAGCATGCATGTCCTCTCTTGGCATGTTTAGTGTCGCTGAGCCGAATAAAACAAAATGGCTGTTTCAGCAAAACCATAAGCTGTTCATGAAATCAATTCAAAGAAACTCTTCTGAAATAGTCCTTGCATTGTATATTTGCGCAAATTGATTACCGTCTGTTTATGCGCGAATAATTCATTTGGTTAATTCTTTTTAGCATCAATAATTAACAACCAGCGAAGTTCTAAGTTTGGATTAACAGTTAACAGGGTGAACCGTGTTCAAATTGCGGACGGGGGGATTTTATATTGAGTTTCTAAATATAGCATAGATGTGACACAAGGCCGAAAGTATGGAATACTCAATGACGATCGAACTCACTACTCAGTCGTAATTGTTCTAGTGAGACAAGCTTGCTAACCATGACACCACGTCGAGGTACACGAGGGATGTTGAGTAGTTTATGTCCACTTTATTTTAAGCTCCCTGGAAAAGGCATGAATCGATCTTTCCAATTGGTCAGGCGAAGTAACTAAGTGGGTGTGTCGACAAAATGACAAAGCCAGAACCTTTTATACTTAACATTACATAATAGAAACAAAAATGGCAACAAAAAGGACACTTATACTTATCACCATAAAGAGACAGTTGAAATTTTTAGGACACATACTGAGGAAAGGGGGCTTGGAAAATATGTTACTCACAGGACAGATTGAAGGCAACAGAGAGAGAGAGAGAGCGAGAGAGAGAGATAGAGAGAGAGAGGAAAACAACTTATAACATATTTAGTGAGCTTGAGTAAATGGATGGTTGAATAGGGAGAAATATCAGAAAGACAGAATCTAATAAGAGCTAAAAGATGCAGGAAGCTGGGGAGAGCTATGATCGCCTCCGTCCTGAGGAGACATGGCACTTTTTCGTCAGTTTTCTCGGCCAGTCTGTGGCGCGAGCGGCAACGTCACCCTCACTCCCATTCCAAAACGTGAACCCTAGATTCTTGTTTGTTGATGTCTGACAGACTGCCCCCTCTTCTTCAGAGCAACTATTTATATATCCATCTGTTCAACGTTTTTTTTTCACACGCTCGCAGCCTTGCCCACAGGTGTTTGCCTCTCGGGGTCACCGCTGACAGCAGATGAATCGGCTGGTGGGTGGGTCACCTCAGATCAACTCTTAACCTGGCTTCCTTGATAGTCTGGTATGAACCTGGGTGCGAAGCTTATTCCGGTACAATACCAAAAAAGGATTACTTTTTGCTGTTTGTATAATGTTGCACGGCACAACCTGTCGCATGTTACATTATGGTTTGGAACATGCCCACTGGGTCTACGGTCCTCTGTGTTGCATTTACATTTTAGTGAGTTGACAACCCTATCAATGTTTACTGTATTATTTCTGGCAAGAAATATGACTGTAAAGCGTAACACATGTGCGAACTAAATTACTAATTAATGGAGGACTAAGCATTGTCATGTAACCTTATTACTTTTAGAAATACTATGCGACATTCGTTTAACTTACGAGATATAAAACAAATATAATATATATATAAATAAATATAAAAGATATATAAACTGATTTAATATATTTTCTCTTTATACGTTATTTTAATAGATACAATTTATTTAAGTAAATGATCTATTTTTTTTTTAAATAAACAGTTTTAATTACATTTACCGGCCTGAGAAATTTAGAAGAAAATATGCGTTTTCCGACAGGGATCTAACCTGTGTCCTATAATTTGGATTTTGTTAACCAGACGCTTTCTCTGTAGGTGGGTAGTATAGCACGTCAGATCAAATTCCTGTCGGAGAATGCATATTTCCTACGAAATTTCTAGAACATTCAAGCCGGTAAATGTAATTAATACTGTTTATTTAAAAAGCAGAGCATTTACTTAAATTGCTTCTATTAAACTAACGTATAAACAGAAAATATATTAAATAATTGTCGGATTTAATCCATTTCATAATATATAAACTTATGTTTAACACGAGATATAAAATAATATATACTTATATCTGTAACTTACATAAAGTTTACATTTATAAAAACATATAAAATATATGTAAGTTAAATTTATAACGTCCGACTGTGAACTGAAAAGTTCATAGACTTACTATGAAGGGTTGGTGCTAGAGCTTTGAAAACCTTTATGCCTTAATTTCAACTCTTCTTATTAATAATTGCATTATTTCTTTCCGCGTAATTCGATTACTCATTATTTCTGTAAATTCTGATATTTCTGCCATATCTGGTTTGGTGCTTCTGATTCTTGATTCATGATAAAATTCAAAGAAAGATCTGTTATGTAATCGGTCCTGACCTGGCATCTCGACTTCAGTCACTTACCCACCATATCGCCTCTCTGTGTCTTTTCTATATATAATTTCTTGGCAATTGTTCTAATGAGCTTTCTTCTTTGGGACGTCAACCGCATGAACTTAAGCGTGCTACTAGATTGGCAAACTCGGTCGCATTGTTTTACTGTTGAGTTTGATGTAATCGTTAATTCTATTCTAATAGTTTCTTTTCTCGCACTTTTCGACTACAGAACGCTCTTCCAGTTTTTTTGCTTCCTTGCCACCATCTTCTTTCTTTCTTTTGTGTTGAACTGTCGACTAATCTCTCTCATCTGTTGCAGTTGTCTGCCAGGAGCCGGATCTCCACGAATGGTTTCTTGGTGTGCTCATCATGCGGTGTGGACGTTTTTAACCTGGTGGAGCCTATCCCTCTCCAGGTTAGACCACAGCCGATGTTCCCTTACTTAGGTGGCTTGCCTTGGTCGCGAACACGTGGCCGTTGTAATTCATCTGAGGAACCCTTCTGCCCTATCACGATATTCAAAAATGTAAATGCTACGTCAATAACCATCTTATGTCTGCCTGTATCCTGTTCTTTTATTGTCATTTCTCCTCTCTAGTCCCTTCTCTTTTTACTTTCATTTTCAGTAGCTGCTTGCGTCTTAGTGGCACTATCGCCTTACTTGAGATGAAATGATAAAAAAAAATCTTAATGGCTTCTCAAATTACCGTCTCGGTTTTACTCTAGGGCTTTTTGACTTTGTTTAGAAAATAACATAATTTCTATAGAATAGTAATCTGAGTAACCATTTCTGTATATCATTTACTAGCAGCATGGCCCGGCGTTGCCTGTGATTGATTCAAAAATCGTACGACTCATACAGCAATCGCTATCACTTGACTTAAAATATTTTTGCGCTTCCTTGCCTTTAAAGGAGTGCCCTTTGCCGTGCTGATGTTGCTACATGCCTTATTTCTTGCGAAATACTGCGAATTTTTTCCAAGCTCTATACTAAACATTAAATCTGTTACGAAAAAAGAACTAAACAAAATGAACACAAAACGATCAACTTTAAAATGGACTCGTAAGTGGAAAAACCGAATGAAAAAAGAATGTTAACAACAATTACTTTTTCACACCCAACCCAGTTCTGCGGAATCAGAATCAACGTTGAGTTTAAACAAGCGAATGAGTCAATTGGAGTAAAGTGCCATGCAGATTTAAATTTTTCCCACTTGTGACGAATGCAGCTATCGAGTTTTTTTTTGCATGCTAACATGCTAGTTAACATTCGTGTCAGTCAGCTGTTGGCTCTCACGCTGGCCAATAGAATCTTCCTGCCTATTTGGCAGCCAGGCAGTTCTCCTCTGGACAGTAAAGGCAAACTCATGAAAAGTGCCTGGACATGAAAAAAATTATTTCAAACTACGATGGAGTAGGAAAAAAGTCGGTCTTGGTCCCACTAAAGCATGAAAAAATCGAAAATTATTTTTACACACACACACACACACACACACATACACACACACACGCGCGCGCGCACACACACACACACATCCTGCCTTTTATAGATAGAGATACCTTGTCAACACTTATCACTAGCTTGTCACGTACATAATTTCAGATTTTACTAAAATCAGTCGAGGTTCAATTTCGCTGAACCGCACATTCTTACCACATATTATAGCTTTAAAATCACCTTTTTAACTTTTTAACTTTTCCATTAAATTATTTCTCACTACATTTTTTTCATTAATGAATATACTTTCCTTAATGGCACCAAGTTACTTAAAGGGTATATTATACACCCTATGGCGGACGTAATTATACTTAAAGGGTATATTATACACCCTATGGCGGACGTAATTCTGTCATAAATCTATATATAAAAAATGTAATCGCCTTTATTTTCAAAGATTGTAGTCCAGTGGGAAGGATTCATTTTCGATTCCACATTTAAAGAAATATCGGATTTTTTTAAATCATGTCACCCAAAGGAAGACAATAAAGCTACTAAGATGCAAAGAGTTGCTGAGTGTTAGAGAATAACAGAGGGAGAACAATAAAAGAACAAGAATTAAGAAGACAGAAGGTAACAATTGACATTGAAGTGAAGTTTTTGAAGATCAAATTTGACTGGAAAACAAGAATCCGAAAAAGAATTCCACAAACTAGAGAAATGCTATAGAATAGATTGTTAAAAAAGGATTTATTGTTACATCTCGCCATTTCAACTGTAAAATGAGACCTTGCTGCCAATCTAGTACTGTGCTTAAATTCATAAATTCTAGATACCATAGAGTAAAGTTCAGAACAATTACCACGAAAGTATTTAAAGAAAGAAGCTACGTTACAACGGTGGGAAAGCGACTGAAGCCGAGATGGCAGATCAGGACCAATAACATTGCAGATTCTTCTTTGGATTTTATCAAGAATCTGTAAATATATTCAGGAGCACCGGACCATATATGGCAGCGATATTCAACGCATGGACGAATGGTAGACTTATAAATATGCTAGATAGATTGTCGAGAGAAAAATTCCTTCGCACAGCACAGTGAACCAACTTTCCTACCAGTAGACCCAGCAATTGATTCAATATATTGTTTCCACTTAATTGTTGGTCCGAGAAGGCGCAATAAGTCACTCTTCTGAATGTTAGCATCGAACATGCTGATAAGGGGGCGGAAAAGAATCTTTCAGAGGATTAATAGAGAGAAGTTTCGTTGTAGAGGCGTTAAAATTAGCAAGCCCTTTTTGCCCCAGTTAACAGACTGTAGGTCATTTTTGAGTCCAGCTGCCAATTTGACCTTATCGAACCGACCACTTCTTCTGGGCGTTGTTTTAGAAGGTGTACCCTTGCATCGTCATGTCAGAGAACAACCCCTTTTCTGTTTACCAAAGACCTGGCGCTATACTGGATCCAACACCACATAGAAATTAGAGGAAATGGCCAAACAGATTCAGCCGAAAAGACTACCGAAAATGAAACTCCTGATATTAATTTCAAGATCCCTTACTTAAAAAGGAAGATAAACGGTTATATTCAGCTGATAAATGTTATAGTAGAATTACCTACAATACATTTTCATAAAGAAATGACCAACAATATATTTTTATAGTAAGAGGAAACATAAAGACTATATGGGGATTTTCTAAGTGTAGCTTAGGCAAAAGTTCGAAAGACTAGGGTACCAGTAAGAATCGAACTCAAAATGATTTCCTCAGCATAGTTTAGATGTGACACAATGCCAAAAGTGTGCAGTACACAGTGAAGACCGAACCCACTACTCAGTCATAATCGATCTAATGAGACAAGCTTGCTAACCATTACACCACTTCGAAGTGCCCGGCGTCTCTTCAGGCAATTTTATTTAATAACAAAAACTATCACTCAAACCTGGTTTTTCGATTTTTCCCCTTGAAAAATAAATGAATGAATATTTAAAATGAAAGCTAAAACATTTAT